GATTGAATTTCGAAAGGGGGGTGGGTAAATGTTGGGTATGTTGGGTCATAAGGATAGTGACTTCAGCCTCGCATAAGCAGACTTTCCCCACCCCCAGATGTGACTTTTTCCCCACCCCCAACCCTTACCCCCCCCCCCCCCCCACCAAGGACACATGGCTTGTTGTGATTCGCCGCAAAAGCTTGTGCATTTGCATGTTTCCTAGATTAAATTATTCTCAACGGAATTAATTAAATATAATTTTAAATCACAACAAGTCATCACTTCATGTGATCGTCCAAGTCATTAAACACTAGTATATAATCCTATTTATTTTCATTAACCTTGTTCATTTTACTACTCATTAATAATTTTAGTCATTATCGTTTTGACCATAAAGATTATATATAGGAATGTAGGGTTAGGCAATATGACAAAGTACAATGAAAATTTGCGTTAGGTGATTCGTCGGGGTTGTTCAGATGATTACCCTCGTAATCAAGAGTATAAACAAGCTAGTAAATCTTGTAGTAAGTAAGTGATCAAGTACCTCAAAATCGAGTAAATAATTTTTTATTCATAGTTGAGGTCGAAACGAGAGTTTCTTATAGAAAACCGATGTGGGAGAATTTGTTGTAGATTTGAGATTCTACGGCTGCATAATTATAGCTCAATTCCCCTTCTTAGGCTATAATGGACTTAATTAGCATTGTGATTAATTTTAATTAAATATAATTAATGGGCAAAAGTAAACTCATTTAGGCACATCTATTATAGTATCTTAAAATACCCTAATATTAATTACTTTATTTATTTTAATCTAATGCTCTTCTTTTTTTCTTGTCCATTCCACTTAAAACAAAATGATATCACCACTAGCTCTTTTCTACTATCTTTTAAGTTTAATTAAATAAAGCTTCTCTTTGAGTTTAGATGTATATCTTTCTTGGGTAAATTACGGTCACCTCTGAGGTAAGATCAAATTATGAGAGAAAAAAAAATCTTCATAATCGGGTTAATTAGTCCATGTTTGGGTAATTACTAATTACAATCACTTCCTCAACTATGAATATTCTAATTACACGTCTATCATTACGATGTCAAATTTAGTGGAAATTTTAAGATTATGTGGAATATTCTACAGTTTGTACACGTTTTACACCATTCGATCTCCACATTTTGAAACAAGATGATCATATTATGTGTCTCTTGGCTTATAAATATCATATGCATCAAAAACTGCATTTTTGCGTAAAACGAATATACAAACTAGAAAATATTCCACATAATCTATAAGATTCTGTTAAATTTTATATTATAAAGACGTACGTATAAGAAGATTCATAATTAAAGGAAATGATTGCAATTACTCAAATACGAATAATTTTTTTTCTAATTGAACCATAACTCAGAAGACAAGATAAATTGATAATTTACCCTTTACTTTTCTTCAAGTTGATAAATTGATAATAAATATATATATTATTTGGTGACCAAGAAGACAAGAAATTGTTGGTTTCATGATGGAAATCCATCTAGTACTCATCCATCCCTAAAATGGATGGGCCCCACTTAATTGGGTGCAAAGAAAAAGTTCAATTTGAGTTGGTGGGGGGTGAAATAGCGATTGTATGTAATGTATAATGTGTGTATGGTGGGTTAAAATCTTTTTTTGGTCACCATCTCAACAACTTAGGTAAATTATTTCCTTTTCCAATTTTTCAATTTTGTTACAATTATATTTACTTTTTATCCTTATATATATATCCTAATTTCTAAAGTTGGCAAATATATAGATAAGGCAAATTGGTAAATAGTCGTCATCATTAGGCGCGGTAGGTAAACCCCCCCCTTCAACATTATTATATAATAACCCTCCAATTTCATTTCTTTCTTTCTAAAACTTAATCCACTTATAACAATTCCTCCACCACCACCACCACCATCGCCGCCGCCACTTTCCGCCGGAGTACAATTCATCAAGATCCTGCAAGAAAAATATTATAAAAAAAATATATATATATTTCTCGTATTTTTTTTCGTTAATCAGAACGTGGGATTTTTTTTTTTTTTTTTTACCACCATGAAAATCGACGTGAAGCGATCGGCGCTGGTGCGGCCTGCGGCGGCGACGCCGGCGGTCAGCCTGTGGAACTCCAACGTTGATCTGGTGGTGCCCAACTTCCACACACCCAGCGTCTACTTCTACCGCCCAACCGGGGCGGCCGACTTCTTCGACGCCGCCGTGCTGAAGGCGGCGCTCGGCCGCGCACTGGTGCCGTTCTACCCAATGGCGGGGCGGCTGAAGAGGGACGAGGACGGGCGGATCGAGATCGACTGCAACGCGGAGGGGGTGCTGTTCGTGGAGGCGGAGTCCGATGGGCAGGTGGACGAGTACGGAGATTTTGCTCCGACGCTGGAGCTCCGCCGCCTGATTCCGGCGGTGGACTACACGCAGGGGATTTCGACGTATCCGCTGCTGGTGTTACAGGTGTGTTGTAGGTGTGTGTTAATTGAGATATGCTATTCGTCATGAAAAAGATATGCCATTTTATTATTTTCTGTTCGTATATGCAATAGTCGTGCTTGCCACGTGCGCCATTACGAAATGCATCCACTAATTTAACCTTTTTTAATTAAATCTTGCATTTATTGCATCATTTACTATTTATGATTTTTTCATATTTTCTGGCATGTAATGATTAATGGAGAGATAATTATTACACGAAGAAATGGAGTAGTAAGAAAGGGTATTTTAGTCCATTAACTGCATTTTTTTTTCTCTCTCTAAAATTCATGTATATTTAATAGAGGGAGTAATTAGTAATTTCACATTAAAAGAGATTACTATAATTCCAAAAATAAATAATTTAAATTAAGATTGGAAGGACTATCATATCATATCTACTTGTTCCAAAGGAAATAACCAAGAAAGATGTATATATATTATATAGTCAACTCATAGTTGTGATTAAAAACGTGAAGAACACAAAAAGAGGGAGCGCATATAGTGCCATATGCTTAAATCTTGAAAGTACTATTTTTTTAAAGTACTAATCTTCATTCGATTTGTTCGATTTTCACCCTATAGATCTGATCGTATCATTTTTTGTAAGACGAGTTGGTATTTAACATCACAAGTAGTGTAGAGATCTAGAGTTCAAATCCTACGGCCCACCAATTTGTAGTAGAATTTTTAATAGGTTTCCAATGGTTATTTCTATGTTACCTACGCATGGTGAATGTTACATGGTTGGTTTTATCGTTGCATTACACACACCAATGTGGATGTGTGTGTATTTGTGTGCTTATGAGTAATAAATTTCTCTCGATGTATTTCACCTGGTGTAGCATAGTATAAACCAGTTCCGAACCAGGTCATTACTCTATTCACAAATATAATTTGGGTCTCATTAAGTATAATACCAAGAAAAAAGGATGTGAGAAGGATTAAATTATATTTATGTCAATTATCAAATTGTGATTACTCATTAAGTAGTAAGGAACAAGACAGGGTTATATTATTATTTATTTCATTTTTGACCAAAAAAGACTTTATTATTCCATTTAGGGAGAAGAGTTTGGAACTTGGACAAAACTACGTATTTAATTTAGGAAATCGGATGCCATTGATTAAAAAATAGAAACACATGGTATATTAAATAAAAAGTGGGCTGCTATGCTAACTTAATTAATAAACTTTTAAAATATAAAACTTCTTTAATTAAGAGTTATGACTTAGAAGTGGAGAATAATGGATAAATTTTACCTAGCACGTAATCCTTTGTGTTTGGTCATTTTTAATTATAATTATAATTATTTTTAATTTTTTTATTAATGGTTTGGTTCTTTTGCTTTGATTATTTTCTCTGTCTATTTTTTTTCTAGAAAAAAAAATTAGTTATTATAGAAAAAATCGAGTTTCTCTAATTTTAAATTCATCGTTCTTAATCACTTCAAAATAGTTGTTTACTGAATATTCTTAGTTTATAACTTCTATGAGTTACAAGGTTTAAGTACACATAAATTAAAATCAAATGAAAATTTCATTACTATTAAATCTTTGTTTTGAATTGCATCAACTAATTAATTATCAGAATTCTAAATCCAAGTTTGTGTTCAGGTGACACATTTCAAATGCGGCGGCGTTTCCTTAGGCGTGGGAATGCAGCACCACGTGGCCGACGGATTCTCGGGTCTCCACTTCATCAACGCATGGTCCGATATGGCTCGAGGGCTACCTCTCGCCCTCGAGCCATTCATCGACCGGACCCTCCTCCGGGCCCGCGACCCCCCTCAGCCGCAGTTCAAGCACATCGAGTACCAGCCTCCGCCGGCAATGAAATCCGCCGCCACTCCCACTCCTCAGCCCACCTCAGGCGGCGGCAAAGCCGCGCCCCCTGCCGAAGAAGCCGCCGTCTCGATTTTTCGGCTGACTCGGGACCAAGTCGTCGCCCTCAAGGCGAAGTCAAAGGACGGCGGCAACACAGTCAGCTACAGCTCGTACGAGATGCTCGCGGG